AGACGTGTGATATTTTAAACAACACTATAGAAAGGCTTCCGGGTGCCCGAAATTCAAGAGGCAGGATGTCACTAATCGAAGAGTTCAGCGACTTATTGCAACTTGTAACAACCCACAGTACTTGTCCCAGAAACTGCAGCTCATGCTGCGAGCTAAGCGGAAACTGTGTGGAATCAAGTAATCACGAAATAGGTACGCAGGTTCAAGCCACGGACATCAACCCTAGCAATCTATCACAAACTGGAAAGTCGCTTTTTAGGATCAATTCCTTCTCAGCATCGCAGCCTGATACACACAGAGAAGTCAGAGCTGTATTAAGTGAATCCAACCTTCGCCGTCACCAACAGGAGACAAAGGAAATCAAACCTATACGTAGTTATGCTGCAAGTCTCCATGGCAGGAATTCATTACCCACAGTTCACGAATCAGAGCACAACTTGCCCGTCGCAGGCTCATCGTTACCGACGAGCTTGAACATTGAACACCACAAAGACAGTTACCCCAGTAACGGAAGTAATCACACAGAAGAATTGGCATTCGAAAATCCGGGTGTCGTCTGTGCAACACAAGAACTCAGCGGAAAAGAAGTACTAGAGGCTGAATTTTTTTGGCAGGACAGTGGTTTCATCGTACAACAAGAGCCAAAGGAAGCTCGCAGTGGGTCAGTTCTCAGTATGTACGGTCGTCACAAATCAGAGCTGGAGTTCTTAAAGTCGGATGTGGATGTATTCGATGACTACCAACAGGGTTTCCAGGGCATGTCGAACTCCACAGGTTATATGCAGAAAATTGCAGACCATGAAAGTGGAGGTCGCAGGTGGGTAAAGAGACAAGTACAGTGGTACCCTGGGTCACGAATGTAATGCGTTTTTTGACTCCGTTCGCGAATGGAAATTATTTTACCCACAGAAGTTAATCCAGATCCAATTTTTCCGTTCGCCCACCACAGAAACCTACTGTTTTTTTTTTTTTTTACATTTTTGTGGATTTATGTGTGGCAAAAATATACAATATAAAATATACCGATAACTTCACATTTGTGGTTGACAGTTGCTGCCCAGGTAGATGGTAGAACAGGGAGACTACTCCATCGAAGGAGAGTCCCACTGGATACTAACGTCGGGCAACTGAGTTGGTATTTCTGATCCCCCCCCCCCTCCCCCCCCCCCCCCCCCGCTTGTTTACATCCTGTGAAGTACTTAATCTGCTGGCTCGGAGGCTAACAATAATATTCCTACTCCTTCAAACAATTGAGACCTTTGCTTCGAAAAATAGGTCACTCCTTAGCTACATCAGCCGTATATATCGCATCTTTGTTCTTGAAGATAGTAGCGATAGTAGATTTAGCCATGTCATACTGTCTGGCGAGATCAGAAACACGAACACAATTCGCATGTTTAGTTATATTTCCTTCCTCTTTTCTGATGTTTGTCCATCACGAGTGATGAAGACCCTTTTCATCCAGAGTAGTAAAGATCAATGATTATGATTACGAAGGTTGCTGATTAGTCCAATTTGCGCCTGGAAAGTTCTTGAGCAGTGCAGACAACAGGCGGAAGCCGCAGTAGGTGTGGGATTGGCGAAACGGTTCTTTCTAGTCTGCCTCCCTGCCTGACAGGCCGATGCGCCACGCCTGAGGGACGTACGCCACCCAGAACGGTCTTGTGCAGCAGCATCCCATGTCGCTGTGTTGATGCCAAAAGAATTGAAAGCAGTTTTGGGAATTTCTTTATAGCGCCTTTTCTGTCCTCACTGGGACCTCTTTCCTTGCTAGAGCTCAGCATAAAATGCCCTCTTTGTGAGGCGATAGTCTGGCATGCGGGCTAGGTGACCAGCCCAACGAAGCTCATAATTCTTCAGTGTCGTGTGGATGCTAGGCAGGTTAGCCCTATCAGGAAGCACATAATGTGGGATCCTATCTTGCCTTTGCCATCTTCCTTTCTACTGTAATACACTCAGCCTTTTTGACACAACTCTCACTAACACTTTTCACTTTCTTTGGAGCCATCATTGCCAATCATTGCCTTTTATTATACCACCTTTGCGGTGTAGGCAGAGGGGTCTGTAAACCTGAGGTCCCCTATGGCCGCATGGCTGGTTCTGTCGCCACGAATGTGCAGAGGAGGATATTTATTTTGTCCTATTTTGTCCCTGACAGAAAAATGCCTAGCCTTACAGAGGATTCAAACCTGGGTCTTATTCTTGAGAGCCCAGCGTTCTAACCGTCCAGGCAGCTGCTCCTCCTTTGGAGCAATAATGAGAGTTAATTTAAGAAATAAAAATGAAAAGAAAGACAAACATTGAATCATTAACAATGCAACAACAATTTATATTTACAGTGCGCGTATCTGACTGATGATGTTCGCGAGCGGAAAATATGGCACCAAAGCCATGTTTGTGTGTTCGTGCACCGATGCTTTGTTCGTGGGTCCAGTAAAAATTTGTTCGGAAATTGTGTTTGTGACTATAGACATTTATGACCCAAGGTATCACTGCAGTATTGTGTTCACTGCACGACACCCAGTCACACACACACGCACATCACGCACACACACACACACACGCACATACACACACGCACGCAAACACGCACACACACACACATTTGTCTCCAGTTAATGTATAATTCTTGCTGTCATTTCCCGACACTCGTTGTTGTATTGACTGACGTATTACAAAGAAGCTGCTGTTTAGTGTTAGTTAACTACACACACAAACACACACACACGCACACACAACATACACGCGCAAATGTATAGGGTTGAGTTGAGTTGAGTCAAGAATTGACATCACAGCACCCAGAGCATTCCCATGCAGGCTCCGTCCTCATCTTCAGCAGCCAGGGTATAGTTCCAATACTGGTGGTACCGGTCACAATCTGGTTAAAAGTCCGTCTTGCCTTTCGTCTGAGTGTAGTGAGCCGGCCAGATCCTCTGGTTACATCCAGATGTCTCATTTTCTCCAGGCCATAATAATCTTTGTTCTCTACTGATTCTGTTGCTTGTTCACAAAGGGCCTTGACCACATCTGCCTTGTCATGTATCAATTCACCACTCAATGATGAGGATCCAGCCAATATGTCTGCCTGTTTATTACCCACCACGCCAGCATCGCCTGGAGAAAAGATCCAAAGTATGCTCACCACCCGTGACCTTTCTAGTGAAGCTAGCCACTCTGCTTAAAGCATCCCTGTCCTCACCTTTTCAGCATGCTTTCAGAGTCTGTTACAAATACGACATGTGTATGCATCTTGTTCTCTAGCCACCGGAGAGCTGCAGTTACCGCCTCCGCCTCCATTCTCATACTAGGTATTGTGGTGTTATATACTAGGCTGTCTCGCACTAAAGATTTTTCATTGGCTTTCGCTACGAACCCCCGGTCAATTCTCTTTCCTCTTAACACTAAACCATCTGTATAGATAAGTAATGCTGACCACAATACCCACTGAGTGCTGATGGTCTGTAAAAATATAGGTGCTCTTCCCATATGCCCGATACACCTAACTGTGTGGAAAGGGATCTTTACTTTTTTTTTTTTTTTTTACTTTACTTATCTGTATAGATAATCAGATCACCTGGGCGTGAATTGTCGTGAATCAACTGTTGGACTGCAACTTCCGTAGCACCCTCTGGCCACTCTGTGCACACCCGGCCAATGTTATCATAACCCTACACAGGTCAGACTTTTCCGCCGGTACTCTGACCCAATCCTCTCCTCGCCCAATGTTCTCTATCATGCATACGTGTCTTTTGTGTCTTCTGCTTGAGCCATCCCCGTGTTTCCCCTTTTCAGCCTCTGACCCTTGCCTGCAGCTAAAGCTTCATACAGAGGGTGTTCCTTGTCTGCAGCTACTCTGATGTATGACTTAGCCTGCAGCACCTTTAGCCTATCTGCAATAGTCAGCAATGCAAGGATTCAGCGCATGCACACAATCGGGGTGTCTCTTGTACAACCCAAAATCAACCGCATATCTTCATTCTGTATGCGCTCCAGTTTCTCTAGCTGACTCTACGAGACAGTGAGTAACCCTAGTCCATAATCAATCACTGAGATGATTAAGTGCTGGTAAAGTGTGAACTACTCCCTCTATGTGATCCATGGAAAACAAACTTCTGTCATAGGTGATTCCCAGGCGCCGCAGTCTGCTGTCTCTTTTGATGTCCCTGCCATTTATTTTGAGTCTGGGAACATCAGCTCTAACAATCCTGTTGTCCAAAGAACACCACATTACGGTTGCCTTTTCTGGGTTGATTACAGCACTCATCTCTGTACACCTGTAAAAAATATATAGGGTGTTCACGGCTACAGTAGATCGCAGATTGTGGAGAGGCATGATCGCCTATGCAAGTCGGTAGGGCACCTGATGATGATGATGATGAGTAGTAGTAGTAGTAGTAGTAGTAGTAGCAGCAGCAGCAGCAGCAGCAGAAGCAGCAGCAGACGTCAGCAGTATCATTAGTAGTAGTACTGGTGGTAGTAGTTACAGCAGCATCGGTAGAAGTAGAACGGGTAGTAGCAGTAGTAGTAGTAGTATTAGTATTGGTGGTAGTAGTATTAGTAGTGGTGGTGGTGGTGGTAGTAGTAGTAGTAGTAGTAGTAGTAGTAGTAGTAGTAGTAGTAGTAGTAGTAGTAGTAGTAGTAGTAGCGTTAACAGCCAGCAGCAGTGGTAGTAGTAGAAAAGGGTAGTAGTAGTAGATGGCATTAACAACAGTAGCAGTAGCAGCAGCAGCAGCAGCAGCAGCAGTAGTAGCAGTAGTAGTAGTAGTAGTAGTAGTAGTACTAGTAGTAGTACTAGCAGTAGTAGTAGTGGTGGTGGTGGTGGTGATGGTGGTGGCGGCGGTGGTGTGGTGACGGTGTTGGTGGTGGTGGTAGTAGTTATTGTTGTTGTAGAAGTAGTTGTGGTAGCAACAGCAGTAAACTAATTAATTGTGAAAGTTAACCTGCAGTAGACCAGCTACTGGAAGAAGGAGAAGGTTGTGATGGTGTTTCTCTTGTTGCAGCATAGGAAGTATCCCCACCAGCAGAATGTCTTTGACAGTGCTTGACCCTGCTCCGATCGAGGATTTCACATTTACCAAAGGTATGTTGAAAAGTTTCCCTTGTTTAGCTGCTAGAGTCCTCCTCAGTACTGGTGGTGTTTGTATTAGTAGTAGTAGTTGTAGTAGTATCAGCATTAGTAGCAGCAGCAGCAGCAGTAGTAGTAGTAGTTGTGGTGATGGTTTTAGTAGTAGTAGTATCAACATTAGTGGTGGTAGCAGCAGCAGCATTAGTGGTAGCAGCAGTAGTAGTAGTAGTATTGGTGGTGGGAATGGTTGTAGTAGTAATATCAGCATTTGAATTACTAGTAGCAGCAGCTGTAGTAGTAACATTAGTAACGGTAATAGTATTATAGGCAGCAGCAATAACAGTAGTACTGGTGGGGGTAGCAGTAACAGCAGCAGTAGTAGAAGTGGTTGAATGGTAGTAGTAATAGCAGCAGCATCAGTATTAGTATTAGTAGTAGGAGAAGAAGCATCAGTATTACTACTCCTGCTGCTCCTGCTGCTGCTGCATTTGTCACTACTAATGCTGCTCCTACTAATGAGTTATTTTAAAAAAAAAAAGACATTGGCTCTTAAATCGATCCAGCCGAAAATCGGTACCAGGTTAAGTCATGGAAAGTAAAAGCGGCTGGAACGATGTTGACCACATAACCGATTGAATTCCGGTTAGTCTATACAATTTAGGACTATACACCCAATAAGCCTAAAGACGTGGAAAGGGTCCTTTGTTCTACTACCATGAACAATTTACTACAAAAACGGTGATCGCCCATCCAATGATTTCTTGATTGACGCACATTTTAGTCTTTCCAGACGATAGTATTATATCGCGCTATGAGGAGGCATGGGACCCACAGCACATAGCGACGGCGAGTTTGACTAGCAAGACCCGCTCACGTTAAGAAAAGCCTTCCACATTTATAGCATGGGATTTCAGGACCGTTGTTGCAACATGTGGTGTTCAGTATGTTTCGTCTCAGACGCTCAGCTCTCATCCTTTCAGTTGGTATTTGTTCGTTAACACAGGCATCACTTTTATTCCATGAGTTGGACCAATGTCGTCCCCACGACCCAACCCGGGTCACGCCTTATTGGCCAACCCCTCCCTCCCTCTTTAGACACTCAGTGTACGCTGTTTGTGGGCGTCGACTCCGTCCATTTCCTAGTTATAGTGTACCAGTTCTTTGCTCGCCGTCCGTGCGTTGGTGATAAATTCGCCAGTACCTGTCCTTGACATCCTTTCGAAGGAAGTTTTTCGTCAGGAACACAGATGAGTATCATTTATTGTGTACATTAGTCCCATGTAGTCACTTCATAGTTGGAGTATATTTGTGTATGTGTACTGTATTGTTCTTTATGTGCTGATGAAGGCTAATCGCCGCAACGTCCTTTGTTCGTTTATTGTGATCGATTTTGTAAAGCTAACATAAACTGTTTGTTGTTTCTTACCAACTTTTTTTCTTACCTATAATTTTCTACTCCTTTTAAAAACTCATCCTTTCAGAGACCATTTCTTCCTTCTTTCTTATTTCCTCACTGATGTGCTCCCTCCACACAACACGGTCCACGGCATTTTGCTCCCACGAGTCCACCTCAATACCTGTATCATTCATTTCCCCCTTGCACACATCTTTATATCGCAAAGGGGTCGGCCTCGACATCTTCAACCCATCTTTAATTCATCATAAAGGACTCTGTCCTCCTCCATTCTCCAGGTGTGACCCAGCCACCTTGAGCCTTCGTAGACTGAGCATTGAGAAGACGGATGTAATACCTGCTCTTTCCAATACCTCAGTGTTTGTGATCTTGTCCTGCCACTTAATGCCAAGCATTCACCATTCCATTAATGTTTAATAATTTGATGCAATACAACCAATGTCCACTAGTCATACATTTATTAAACCATTTCTGTGTAGATTAAACTAGGTAAAGGTGCTTTACACGCCTGTGGCACATCGGGTATGTGTGGCACATCGGGTATGTGTGGCACATCGGGTATGTGTGGCACATCGTGTATGTGTGGCACATCGGGTATGTGTGGCACATCGGGTATGTGTGGCACATCGGGTATGTGTGGCACATCGGGTATGTTTGGCACATCGGGTATGTGTGGCACATCGGGTATGTGTGGCTAGACGCATTATTTTTAGTCCAATTGGCACTTAATATGTGATGTGGTCAGCATCAGGCCGGCCGCCTTTACTTTCCTTGACTTTTACCTAGTATCCATTTAATGCTGGGTCGACATGGGAGCTAAGATCGCTCTTGTAAGTCTAGCACCGTCCGAATTTGAACCCATGACATTTGGATCTACATGAAAGCGTGTAGCCGCTACACCACAGCGGCTTTCCATGTCCAGATTAATGGCATGCAAATCTGCATCTTTTTAAAGATTTTTGTCCTGACTGATTGCTAGCAATCATACGTTTAATATACCATTTATGTGTAAACTGATGGCTAGCAATCGTAACTTTATTTCACCATTTATGTCTAGATATTTGGCTAGCTGTCATGCAATTATTTTACCTTTTATGTTTAGATAGATGGCTAGCAAATAATTATTATACCATTTATGTCTAGACCGATGTCCAGCAATTAAACATTTATTTTACCATGTTCATCTCAATAGATGGCTAGCAATCGTACCTTTATTTTACCATTTATGTCTAGATAGATGGCTAGCAAACATGCAGTTATCATACCATTTATGTCTAGATAGATGGCTAGCAAACATGCAACTATCAAACCATTTATGTCTAGATAGATGGCTAGCAATCGTACCTTTATTATTCCATCTGTGTCTAGATAGATGGCTAGAAATCATGCAATTATTATACCATCTATGTCTAGATAGATGGCCAGCAATCGTACCTTTTTATACCATCTATGTCTAGATGGTTAAGTTGAGTTAAGTTAAATCAAGAATTGACATCATTTCCATGCATGCACCGTCCTCAACTTCAGCAGCCAGCGCAGAGTTCCAATACTGATGGTACCGGTCATAGTCTGGTTATATGTCCGTCTTGTCTTTCCTCTGAGTGTAATCAGCCGGCCAGACCCTCTGGTTTTACCCAGATGCCTCTTTCTCTCCAGCCCAAAATAATCTACCTAATCTTAAATCTGTTATAGCTATCCTTTGTGTCAAGAGCAATGGACAGCATTCATACATTTATTTTGCTATCTTTGTTCAGATCAGTGGCAGCCGAGATACAGACAAAGAATCCTAAAAGGAAACACCAGTCTCGATAGAAATATTGAAGAAGATGGTCAGTCCTCCGAAGAAGCTAAAGCAACAGCCAGCGATGACAAGGAACCATCGCCTGTCGTTCCATGCAAACGTCAAAAATCGGACGACCAAGTTGTAGCTTCGCGAGTGAAGGATTTAGCTCATCAATCTAACATTATGTATTAACTCTCTGTGTTTACTGTTGATTCTGGGGACGAATTCTTGGGCTGAGGCACAACATGTTGGGCTGAGTTAACAGGCGCCATCATAACACTCAGGACATTTACATAAGCACGCCGTCCTCATCTTCAGCAGCCAGAGAAGAGGTGCTAGTAGCAGTTTGATGTCGTTTTCACTGAGTCTATAGTGTCAGCCAGATCCCATCGTCACCTCCACAGCACCACTCTTTCCACTACCTAATGATCTATTCGGATTTTTGCATTGTTTGCTTGCTTCCAAAGAGCCTTGATAAAATCTATCTTGTCAAACATTATTACAAGACACCCAACTGTGTAGCACTAGACAACGAATCTGCTTGTTCATTTCCCAACACACCTACGCGACCAGGAGAAAAGACAACAAGTCAGTCTTAGTATGTATAAGCACGAAATTTGTAATATTTATAACAATATTAATTGCACGAATTTTATTAAATATCGTCAGACTGTTTGAAATATACTTTCGTTATCAGCCGGTTAAAGTGATTTCTTGTACTTCATAATCTATTATACACACCGTCCCAATGTGGGATGCAATTGTTAGTTATTGTAAAGCCCCACACCAGCTAGTGCCGATGTAGTAGTAAAAAAGTAAAGGACCCTTTTACACGCCATCAGGGGTATAGGGCATGTAGGGCTAGACCTATATTTTTATAGACCAATTGGCACAAGATGGCTGATGTGTCAGCATCAAGCCGGCCGTCTTTACTTTCCCGGGACTGCACCCGGTACCCACTTAAGGCTGGGTCGACCTGGGAGCCAAGGTCATTTTTGAAAAAAGTCCGGCTTCGCCAGGTAGCGAACCCACGATCTTTCGATCCGCGACGAGCATCTAACCGCTCGGCCATGGCGACTCCCTCTTGTGCCAATGCCTCTAGTATAAACTAATGGCTGAACGAGGTTTCTCGGACTTGCACCCGGGTGATTCTCATTCGAATGGTGGCACTTTGTGTCACCGGGTGTTGATCGCAGGTTGTGCGGTCCTGCTGGGGTTGAATCTTGTTTATTCGTTCTTGTATTTTAGGTCCAAAATACGGGAGCTTGAAGTGGTTCGATTATGTAACAGCAAACATGGACCATGTTGGCAAAATGTATGCCAAGATAATAGAAACAAGACTGAGACCAGTGATAGAACCACAGCTGGCAGAAGAACAGATGGGATTTAGGAGAAATAGAATCTGCACAGATGCAATCTTCACACTTAAACAGTTAATAGAAAAGAACATTGAATACAATAAGAACTTATTTGTGGCATTCGTAGACCAGGAGAAGGCATTTGACAGAGTCGACAGACAATTATTATGGAAAATAATGGCAAGATATGGAGTAAGAGAACACCTCATCGAAGTGTGCAAAAGTTTATACAGGGATTGTAGAAGTGTAGTTAGAATAAATCAGGGAACATCTCATCCTTTCACAGTGACATCTGGAGTAAGACAGGGGTGTGTCTTATCACCACTGCTGTTTATCACCTACATGGACAGTATATGCAAGAATGCCAAGCCCATAAATGAAGATCTTAGTAAGATCAACGAATTACTCTTTGCAGATGACCAGGCCTTGATAGCAGATACAGCCATGAAATTGCAACAACATCTAACATCCATGAATGAAGAATGTAAAACAAATAATATGAGAATCAACACTGAAAAGACAGAAGTAATGTCAATAGAAAAAAGAAGACAGATCTAAACATAGCAATAGAATACAAAGGCATTAAACAGGGATCTGAGTTTAAATATCTGGGAACTACATTTACCGAAGATGGGCAATTGGATAAAGAAATTGACATTAGATGCAGTAAAGCAAACCAAGTATTGGGACAGCTAGCCCCCCTCTTACAACATAAGACAATCCCAATCAGCACAAAGAGACATCTTATTCAAAGCATATTTATTCTAACTCTGTACTACCAGTGCCAGACATGGTCACTCACAACAAACCATAAAAGAAAATTAGTAACCACGGAAATGAGATGACTGAGAAGGGCTGTAGGAGTGACCATAAGAGATAAGATCAGGAATGAGATCATAAGAGAAAAAGTCGGCACAGAACCAATTCTGGATTACATACAAAGACAGCAGGTGAAATGGTTTGCCCACTTAGAGAGAATGCCTTGTGACACCATACCATACAAAGCATACATGGAAAGAGAAGAAGGACGTAGAGCACGGGGTAGACCAAGAACAATATGGAAGGATAACATCAGAGAAACTCTACAACAGCACAATGTGCCTATGGTCGAGACGGCCAGAAGAGCTAGAAACAGAACCTTATATCTCCCTCGACACCCACAGCGGTAAAAGGGGAAGTGAAGAAGAAGAAGAAGAAGAAGAAGAAGAAGAAGAAGAAGAAGAAGAAGAAGAAGAAGAAGAAGAAGAAGAAGAAGAAGAAGAAGTAGAAACATGGACCAGCTACAATGAGATAATCCCTGCTCAGTGACCATCACCATATAAAAATAATAATAATAATAATAATAATAATGATAATAATAATAATAATAATAATAATAATAATAATATCATCATGTGCCCTGCCAGGCAGCGTAGTAGTTCATGCCTCTCCACAAGTCTCGGTATTTTGAATCAATTCCATTAAGGAATTTCCTCAATGTCATCGGTTTAGGGCGTCGAGCCTCCTTCCTTGGTCTGCCTCTGCCTCTTCTACAGTTAATCTTTCCAGTCATCACGATGTTGGCCCAGGGATTTCTCCTCTCTGTTAAAATGGCCGGCTTCGTCTCCTCCTCTTCTTCCTCCTACTCATGCTTTTGCCGCCGCCGATGGTGTGCTTGTGTTAGGGTACGCATAAGCGTATGTGTGTGTGTGTGTGTGTGTGTGTAAGTATATATGTGTGTGTATGTGTGTGTGGGGATCTCTGTGGCGAAGTGGTCAAGCCGTTTACCTCGCGCTCTGAAGGTCGTGGAGTCGTTTCACGGCGGCGTCGTTCAGTTCACGAGTGCAATTTTTACAGAGATCTCTATGGATCGTCGTCGGAGCAACGGAGTTCGTGCTCTGTGAGATTCTCTCGGCAGGCGACTAGCCATGTTACGGAGAGAGACCGAGGGATCTGGAATAAAGTCGAACCTCTAGACTTTAACCCTTAACCTTTATGTGCGTGTATGTTATGTTCTAATTTATATATATATAAGAAACATTCAATAAGATACCGCACTTCCTTTTTATATTCATTTTATTCTAAGCTAGGGAGCCGCAGTGGTGTGGAAAACCACAGTAGCCAAAAAAAAAAAAAAATGCTGGGGTTGGTTATGCAACGTCCTGTAAAGGATACGCAACTAACTTTAAATATACTATTCATGTTTCTGCTGAGACTGGGTACGCAGGTCCTTGACCGTTCCAACTGTCAACAGTTTTGTCTCAGAGTAAACTCAGTTGAATAGCCCTGCCATAGATAGTTTAGGGACACAGCTGTTGGCGGACATGGTGCAGTAAAAGTTTGTTTTTTTGTTTGTTTGTTTGTTTGTTTGTTTGTTTGTTTGTTTGTTTGTTTGTTTGTTTGTTTGTTTGTTTGTTTTAGTATCCAGAAGCCATGAGTTGTTAACCCTTAGGCTCGGTATTATAGATATCGCAACCTTTCGGTCTTGATTCCATTGTAAATACCGTAAATGAATGAATGAATTTTTACCCCACCAGTACATCACACAAGCGATAAACACCCGATGACACAAAGTGCCACCATGTGGGTGAGGATCACCGTGGAGAGGTCCCAGAAACCGCGTACAGACAATTGGCCATATTTATGGCCTGCCTATATTGCGGCCTCTGGCGAAAGCCAGAGTGGGGCTTCAAATAACAAAAAATTACGTCCTAAGAAGGATGTAAGGATAGAAAGTAATACCGTAAATCTGGGAGAAATGTGGCTTTCCTGCCTACCCCAGGGATTGAACCCGGACCACAAGGAGTTCGTCACCCAGTCTCCGCGCTATCCGGTTTAGCCAACTACACCAGAGAGCCGGGCGTCAAATAAAAGTAAACAACCGTTGTACACGCCTTCAGGCCTATTAGGCATAGAAGGCTAGGCTTAGTAAGTGATGTGGTTAGGGTAGTCAGGCATAATGATGTCAAAGAGAATCAATCTAGCAACATCTTTGATCTGATCTGGACAAGCCGTTGACGCGATCGTTGTTTGTAGGCAACTCAGAATAAAACCATACTCTAGATGTTGAAAGTTTAACCGTTACGACATTTCCACCCCCCCTTTCCAAATGCATATATATGCAAGTAAAATAAAGTAAAACTTGTCAAAGCATCGTCTCTGTGACCTCACACGGACGTTAGTCGTAGGTTTTCCAGCAGCCATTAAGGAAGAAAGTGTAAGGTTTTGAGGAAGTACTGAAATACTGACATCCTAAATTTATGGCTGATTCCCCCCCCCCCCCTTCCCTGGAGCTTTTGAGGAGATCAGAGCACCTATGGTTCTGTCCGGAGTTCTGTTATGATATTCCTTTCTAATCAATTATACGGTTACCTGTCTACAATCTGTTTCCTCTTTCTTCACATTTCCTTGACAATTCCCCCCTCCATCCTAATCCATAACGACAAGAAAAATGACATAATCCGAACAGTAGACTACATAAATTTGTTTTTAAAATACAGTCAATTAATTGGAGGATCTGCTTCTTCTTCAACATTCCGAGCCCTTGAGGTTCATTGCTGCAAATATCACCCGCCTCCATTCATCTCTCTGGTTGGACTTCTCTTTCCAGTTGGTAACACCAAGTGTTTGCAGATCTCTCTGGTCATTATTTCTCCATGGGGATCGAACCCGACACCCCGGCATAGCGAAGCGCTATCGTAATGCCTAAGCCATAGACGCTGACATTCTGAGTACTACGTCATCAAAAAGATATACAGGAAGAAAATGGCTCCCAGTTAAACATCGTCGCTGAGTTCGTAGTTAGCGAAACGTAATCAACTAAACAGCCGAATTGGTAAGTATGCTACAGAAAAA